GTACGTGGCTGGCGCCTTAGCTGGTTGAGCTATAGGCGCCGAGCCTACTATAATGATCTTTAGGAAGAATAAGCTGATATGAGCCGGGTCTTCAACAACCTATAGAAACCTTTTTATTTATTTATTTATCTTATTTTTTAGACAGAATCTCACTTTGTCACCCTCAGGTGAGTGACGTGGCATCATAGTTCACAGCAACCTCCAACTCTTGGGCTCACGCATTCTCTTGCCTCAGCCTCCCTAGTAGCTGGGACTACAGGCACCTGCCACCACCACGCCTGGTTAAAGCTATTGAAAACTCAGAGAGCCAATGAACTTACGTGTTGGTCTTTCAAGTCCCCCTGGCATCCATAACAAAACCTGAAAAACAGTTAAGAGTAATTTACTCATTAAAATAGTTGAGTAAAATTTCAATAACTGCAATCCTTTAATAAATAAATATTTTGCATGTGACTTTTAGGAAAAAGAGTTCAGAGTATCAATAATTTTTTTTTTTTTTTTTTTGAGACAGGAGCCTCAAGCTGTCCCCCTGGGTAGAATTTCGTGGCATCACAGCTCACAGCAACCTCCAACTCCTGGGCTCAAGCGAGCCTCCTGCCTCAGCTTCCCAAGTAGCTGGGACCACAGGCACCTACCACAATGCCTGGCTATGTTTTGGTTGCAGCCGTCATTTTTGTTTGGCGGGCCCGGGCTGGATTCAAATCCACCACCATGGGTGTATGTGGCTAGCATCTTAGCCACTTGAGCCACAGGTGCTGAGCCAGTATCAATAATTTTTTTAAATTCCACCACATACTCAGATCATTTGACTGTTCAAAATTTAGTTTTTATTTTAATTAAGGCTAAATATGAGCATGATGAACATGCTTGTCAACTGGGTTTCTGTGAGATATTAAGCCTTACAGAAAATGATTTGAGTTACTATTTGAAGTTCTTCCAAGATAGTAGATAACTGGTACAATTCCAGATGGACATGAGAAAAGCTAATTTCTTATACAAAATAGATATCCAATAGCTTAATTTTCAAGGCATGATTTAAAGAGTTAAAAAGTTTTCAAAACTTACTACAAAAATCAGTAGTCCCTGGCTACCCTTCTCTACTTCATTTCCAGCTTCCCAGAAGCACTTTTAAAACTTTTTGATAGTTACTTCTGCTAATAAGCACTTTCTTGTGGTTTTTATAAGTATTGGCTATCAACCTCCAACTATCAAAGATGAGAATTTGATTCTTTCAATTCTCTTGAACAAACAGTGCATACATGTATATATGTAACACCCCTTGATTTTTTTCTATATCATTACATCATCATTTTGGATAAAACAATATTCAATGTTTAGGTTATTATCCCTATATAAACATTCTCAGTGGAGCCATGTAATATAACTTTTCCTCTCTTTAATGCATTTTTCCCCCTGGAATTAATAACTGTACTGCTATTCCCAATCTTAGTTTCCTATGTAATTAACACTCATTCAGCCCCTATCTTCCCCAGAATTGTATAGGAAAACAGCCCTGATCTTTAGCATAAGATTCATTTTCTGCTTGAGAGACATGGAGAATCACGAGAATGGCATGTGAGTTGTGTGAGTCCAGGAGATCAGAAAATCAGCCTCCAAGGGAGAACGTCCATGTGAGGTGTGGCAATACCAGGCTAAAGGTTATGGTAAAGATTCTCTAGACTCCAAAGGTCTTGACAGGAGAAGCAGAGGCCTTGCTTAAGATTTGAGATTTTAGGCTCGGCGCCTATAGCTCAACCGGCTAAGGCGCCAGCCATGTACACCTAAGGTGGCGGGTTCGAATCCCCAGCCC